CTGCAGACTCTACGGACTGCCTAAGAGGCTGAGTTCTGAGGTTTCTGCTGTGAGAGGTCTGCAGCTCAGGATTCCAGGGTCGGCCATCAGTTAGCAAACATACACCTTGCCATATCTACAGACAAAACTCTCCAGCCCTAATGCAACCCTCTCTGCAAGCATTTTTAATATAATGCATTCAAACAGTGTTTTACGTACTTATAGCAAAAAGGTGATACAAGCCATTCTTTGTGCAAGACTGACTGGATTTGCAGAAAGAAATGGGACCTAAATGTCCATACCCAAAAGGCTGTGAGCTCCTTTTATGAAGTCTGCACACTGTAAAATGACAGCAGCCTTGAGAAGAAGCCCAGAATCATTGCAACACGGAAATGTCAAGTAGCTGTGCCTTGGTTCCTAAGAGCATTCCACAACTATAGTGTCACTTTGCTGTGTCCATTCCCCCCTCAGATTAATTGTAGAGCAAGAACTCTAGGGAGTGGTTTCCAGAAAATTGCACTTATCCAAACCTGACTCTTTTCTTGCCCACTAAAGTAATCTTGTATAAGCCATAACAACACGGTGATGCTTTATGAAAGCCATTCCCCTGGTTCCTGACCTCTGGTAAATAGATGAACTCAAATCTTTGTTCACAGACTAACAGGGAACAGGGGAATGGCTTCATGAAACAACACAATTCTGCTGTGTGATGTATGAAAGCATGGGAAGCTAAAAACAGCAATCTTTTATGTTTGTGTGGGCTGCTTATGGGCTGCTTACGGAAATGATCGAATAGAGGAACTGGGGGTTTACTGCAGCAAAACAGATTTTGTAGGAATAAAATAAACTCAAGTGCCACAGGGGGATGAGCAGCATAGAACAGTGTGGCAATTTCTCTTCAGCTATGGGTCTTTACCCCCCCCCCCACCATAGTGCACTATCAGCCTGGTCACTACAAAGCAATGTATTCTTCAATTAAGGTGTTTATACACTGCTTTTCAGCATATCTCACAAAACAGTTCACACAGAAATATTGCAACAATAAGAATCAATTAAAAAAGGAAGAAAAGAAAAACAAACAGCCAAGGCAAGCTGGGGGGGGGGGACTTTTTGAAAACTACATCAGGGCAAGATGGCTATGTGGGGGCAGTTGGAGGACAGAAAGACCACCTTTGCTGGAGTACTGGGAAGTAAACATTGAATAGAAATTCACACAGATCTGCCCCCCCTCTCTTTCCCCCTCTCCTTTCCTCCTTAGTAAAATGGAAATTCTGGTACTAGAATGTAGGTTTCAACTTGCCTTTCAAACTGACACCGTCCAACTGGATACTCTTCCTTGGCAGAAAACAGAATAGGTTCAGATTTGTCCAAGGGCAGGTAACAAATAAGTAGAAAAAGAAAGTAATGGCTGATAATTCACCTCTAGCCTCAGTTATCTGACAAGACGAGGAGAGATTTCAAGCAACAGGGAAAGAAAAAAATGATAAGAACTGGGTTGCAAAAACAGGTTTGTTTTCAAGAGAACATCTTGATTGAAAATATTGTTACCATGGAAGTAGCCAGATTAGACATTTAATTGTGCAAGAATTGGGAATAAGCCAACTCAGGGAACTAACTCATTTTGAAGCAACTTTGACAAGGGAATTAGAAGATGCTATGAGTTTGTGGGTTGCAGGGCACCCTAAATTCCTGGGTCCAATTTAAGTTAGGCTTAACAAGGTTGGAGGCTCCGGGATTAAGTTTATGTTAAGAAGCCAGGCCAGCTTGCTGATTTCCAGCTGAGTGTGGACCACTGGGGGACAAAGACCAGTCACATATTTTGATGTGTCGTTGGGACATTCAATGTCAGACAGCAAGGGGTGTGTGGAGCCCCTTCTCCAGCTTCTGTTAGAGGGCAGAGGCAAAAAGGGCTTAGGGTTTCAGTTGGGATGAGGTGGGCTGGAGGGAAATTGTTTCACTGGGTTAGCCGTGACAAAGAAGAAGGAGAGGAGCCCAGGGGAGCTGCCTGTGACAGGCTTCAACACAGAGACAGAAGGCATGGCTGGTTTATCTGTTCTGAGCCCTAAGTCTGCTGCACCTATGGGATATACAAGAGGCCCTCTTGGAGTATGAATGCTTTAAATTCTCTTCATCTAGACACACATTGTAAAGGTGATAATAATAATAATAATAATAATAATAATAATAATAATAATAATAATAAATTTTATTTATACCCCGCCCTCCCCAGCCGAAGCCGGGCTCAGGGCGGCTAACAACAATAAAATAATACAACATTCTAAAACCATTACATATAAAATTAATTCAAATCAAATTGATGGCAACCATTGGGCTGGAATTCTGTGAAGATTGCCAAAGGAGGGAGTCAGGCTGTGCCCTGACCAAAGGCCTGGTGGAACAGCTCCATCTTGCAGGCCCTGCGGAAAGATGTCAAGTCCTGGAGGGCCCTAGTCTCTTGTGACAGAGCGTTCCACAAGGTACCCCTGACCATTAGGTCCATTCGCGGATGATTCTGGGGTTGCGGCGCTCATCTTGCTTTATTGGCCGAGGGAGCCGGCGTACAGCTTCTGGGTCATGTGGCCAGCAGGACTAAGCCGCTTCTGGAGAACCAGAGCAGCGCACGGAAACACCGTTTACCTTCCCGCTGGAGCGGTACCCATTTATCTACTTGCACTTTGACATGCTTTCGAACTGCTATGTTGGCAGGAGCAGGGACTGAGCAACAGGAGCTCACCCCGTCACGGGGACTTGAACCACCGACCTTCTGATTGGCAAGCCCTAGGCTCTGTGGTTTAGACCACAGCGCCACCCGTGTCCCTTAGACACACATTGTAGATATGTGTAAATAAACCATATATCATAAAGACACCAGAGTCTCTGATGTGCCTCATCTCCAAAGAATACACAGATCCTGGACCCCTGGAATCTGACACCCATTGTGGAGATTGGGGTGGCTTGTAACCAGCACTGCCAACTTGAAATACAATATATGGGGAGGCCCAGATGAGCCCCGTCCCGCATAATCGATCACATGATGCAGTGCACGCACACTATTTGAATAGAAAAGCCCATCAACTGGGGGGGCAGCCCACTTCAAATATTTTATTTGGGGACTGAAGGGAACTCGGCCCCTAGGAGTTGGCTCCTACGTGTGTAAAAACATATTGCTATGAGGTTTCTTGGGGGGAGCAGATCCTCCTAAATTCTTAAATTAGTAAATGTTATAATTTAGCTAATATTTGGAATAGTAAGGGAAGATGCCAGGCACCCTGCAAAAATACAGGATATTCCAGTTTTCCTGTTCAGGAAATTGTCTCACAGAGGTGCCATTAAGAGACAAAGAGAGGAGAGCACCCGACCATTAAGGGTGATTGACAAGGCAAATACTTAATGGGCAGAGACAGAAGGAAGAAGCAGGAGGTTGCCAGGGTTACGGGGGTCTGATGTTACCAAAGGGAAATGTGTCTTTTGCAGGTGGCTTCTGAAAGGGAGATTGGCAGGGTTGGGGTGGGGGTGATGTAAATGGAAGGGGGAGTTGAGTAAAGACTTCTTTCATAAAGACATTATATCCTCTGTAGTGCCTTAATTTTCCGAAGGAAACACAAACCCTGATTAAGTGCCAAGACTCCCAGCATCTAGGCAGAGACTGCAGTGGCCTGTAACAATATAGTCTCGTGTTTATCAAACAGTAAGATATTTTTAAAAAACAATGGGAATTCTACAAGGTGATTTGGGGAGAGAACAACTACTGTTCTCTTTGAGCTACTGTAGGAAGGACTTGGCAGATAACATAAGAGCTAAATAAGCACTTCTCTGAAAGAGACTCAGTTTTAGAAATTGTTTATATAGTGTATGACTGCTGAAAGAACAAACAGGATTTATTGAACTAATATTTTCAGATGTTGAAAATGTGACAGAATGAATGCAGATTTCTATATTATGCAAAATGTCCAAGTTATTAGACTCAAGTTTCACACATAAAATCAAATAACAAAGGTTAGGGTTGTTGCTGTTGTTGTTTAATTTGCTGCATTAACCCGTGTTGTTAAATTGCCTTTGCTCCTTAAGGGAAAACAGCAACAGATCTTGACAATCAGAGAATCCTTATTTAGAACATTGGTTACTGTGTAAGCAGATAAAGTAAAAAATGCTTCATTGCAGAAACTGGCACAAGGCACAATGATTTCCTCCCCGACCCCGGTGGCATTTGTTTCCTATATACTGGAATTTTGCATTAGGGAAATTAAACAGTTCTTTATTTAAGGATTGTTGAGTTGTATGTAGAAACATGTAAACGTATAAGTAGTTGAGTTTTGACTTGAATTTCAAATGGACTGTATGGCTCTCAGCAGCAACTCCTTTTCCAGAAGAACCATTTGTGACAGAGGCAAAGAAATGCACACATTTCTGCCGAGGAAGCTGCTGTTCAAGGCACAGCAGAAAGGAGATTCTGACTAGACATCAGGAAGAACTTCCTGACAGGAGGAGCTGTTCGGCAGTGAAGCGGATTCCCTCGGGAGGTGGTGGACTTTCGTTCCTTGGAGATTTTAAAGCAGAGGTTGGGTGGCCACCTGCCATGAATATTGAGATTCCTGCATTGCTTGCGGTTGGGCTGACCCCCGATATTCCTTCCAACTCCACAGTTCTATGATCCTACGAGCAAATCCAGTTTGAGAGGAGAGGAAAACCCCCCCTGCAAACTCATTAATTTGGGAATAATCTCAAAGAACTTAATGGAACTGGATGCAGGTTTATCCTGAGCGCATCTTCCAGACCCGCTAACCGGCTGCTTCTCCCCCAGCCACTTTGCTCAGTTCTGGCCTGCGCGAGGAAACCCCCCTCTGCCCTCCATCGGCTAACGAAGCGAGGCTCGCTATTGGTGGACGGGCCGAGGTTCCCGCCGACGTCACCGACCTCCGCTTTCCCACCCGGGCGGTTGCCGATTGGCTGCGCTCTCAGCGGCATCTCCAAACGGCATTTGCATGGCTGGCTGGGGATGGTGCTGGCAGAGGATAGGAGCGAGCAAGGCGAGCCTTTTGTTGTCGGCTGGAAGGAGCTGCGCGTGCCTCGGAAGGCGCTGCCCGGTTGGCTGAGACGCACGCGGGAGCGCGCGCGCGCGTTTCTCCCCCTCCTACTTTGCCTCCTGTTGCGATTTCAGACGCCCGGGCGGGGGAGCTGGAGGAGGGGGAGGGTCTCTCGCGCAGCAGGTGGCGGGGAGTTACAGCCTCACCTGTGGGGAAAAGATAGAGCCCCGCAGCGCCGGCGGCGCCTCCTCTCCTCTCTCGGTTCCAAACGCGTCGCTGCTGCCGCCGTCTTGTCTGCTTGCTGGCTGCTGCTGCTGGTGGTGGTACCTTGCAGCCAGGAGGGTTGCTTTCCCTCTCCCCTAAAGACAGGATGGTGGATCTGGAGAGCGAGGTCCCCCCGCTTCCTCCGAGGTACAGGTTCCGGGATTTGTTGCTGGGCGATCAGGGATGGCAGAACGACGACAGGTGAGTTGGGGAGAGGCTGCTCCGAGGGGATGTTCCTCGAGACGAGGAAGATGCCCCTCTTGACTTTTGCCCTTTGTTTGCAGCGCGCATCGCCTGGAGATGCAATGAGGCTGGGGATGCAGCGTTCCTCTTGCAACTCCGTCTGTCCCTACGTGCGAGGGCTTGCATGCGTGCCCGCAGCTGCACCCGCACGTTTCTCGTGCATAGGCATAACGGCTCGCGTGTTCTTGCTGAGGGGGTTTATTTCCTTAGGCTGGCGGCGGCGCCCTGATGTTTATCAGCTCCTCGAAGTTGCCCACGGCATTTCAGTGACACTTGAGCCGGCGCCAGCCCTTTGTACCTGTTACTCTTCCGTGCGCGCACACGCATTTGTGCCCGTCTTGCAGACCCGTGTAAAGTCTAGCCTACTGCTGTTGTGTGTCTGTGTGTATGTCTACACACAACCCGGCAGTGTGATAGTGCTGTTATCCCACACTATTCTTCCTCCTCTGTGGACGCTACATTTCCCACCACCCTTCATGATATATGTCTGTACCTTTACCTTATGTCTGAGGATACACACATGTCCATCAATACTTCCCAATTCACGCAGGAGATTATCTGCCTCTGATGTGTGTGAGATCCCTAAAGTGTTTATCCAGGCTGGCTTTCCCTTTTGAGGAAATGATGAAACTACTAGCAGTGATTCTCCCTTTCTTTCTTTCTTCCCTTCTCCTTCTCCCTCTCCCTTTCTTTCTGTCAGCTTGTGCCATCTGAAGCCCTGTGCCCTTGTTGAGCATTGCTCCTTCTGTATCACGTGCCCCTTATATTGGGAGAGATGTCTAATAATAAATGCATTGCTTCCATATATGACACGGTGATTGATGCTTGTCAGCTCAGATTGCGATGCACTTCTAAAAACATGGTGTATTGTTCCACATTGCGCTGATGGTGAATCCCGACCTCAGGTTGGTGGGTGCTCTTCTGGCCAGGTTGTGAGAAATTTCTAAAAACAAAAAGTCCATTTTACAAGCTTCTGTCTCTTAAAGCACATCCTGCTCTTATCTGGGGCGTCAGTAGTCGCCTGCCAAGTGGATGATAAAGTCCACACCTGTTTTGCTCCAGCAGTCCTGCAGCACTCAGGTGTGCCGAGTCCCTTGCAAATTTCTCCTTAGGGTCTTAAAAAAGAAATGGAATTGATCGCAAGAATATCTTTCTCCAGGACCCATATTTTAAGAATGGATTCTTCTTGCCGACTTTACCTGATGGGGCTGAGCTACCTTGCCTCAGGTGTTAATTAGATATCCTATGAATGCTGTGCTGTGGTGGAATCTTTTTACAGTGATAACTGAAATTCAGAATGCGAACAATCTTGCCAGTGTTCCTTGAAACCTGCATGGATTCCTTTTTGCTTGAGTGGAATATGTCAGAGAGTCATGGCACTAGAAAGAACATGTAATCCCACCCCTGACCTGACTGATACATGAAACCCAGCACTATTGCAGCTGTGTACAATCAGAGAATATTCCTAACCAAGCGAGATGGACAACCAAGATGCTGTCCCAAAAACTTGTGCAGCAGATCTCTCTGATTCCCCCCCCCCAATTTTACCTTTTCGTTTATATTTTGTGTAAGATGGAATAAAATAATAAAAGGGAGAAAATATGCATCAGAATTAAAGCAAACCAGAAGGCAAATTGTAGGCAAATTGTGTTACTATCAGTACGATCCTATAAAATATCTCCTTGGATGGAAGTCCCATTATTTACAATGAGACTTACTCCCAGGTATGTGGGTATAGGTTTGCAGCCTGAGAGGCAGTTTTGAAGTCCAATCGTATAGCTAAATTAAAAAGAGAGAGAGAGACCACTCTGTATATGGTAAGTGGAATCTAGAAGTTAGAAGGGACCCCAAGGACTTTTTAGAAATCTGGTCCAACCCCCTGCAATGCAGGAATCTCAGCATAAAATCATGAAATTGTAGAGTTGCCTGTGCCAGTTGGCCAAGTTTGTCAGGTATTGCAGTTCCTTAACCTCTGACTGCTGGTGGGAATGTGAATGATTTAAGACCATCCCAAATATGGTGGTGGTTGTAAAACAACTGATACTATAGAGATCCCTTTTTTCCAACTCTGAGCTCCGAGCTGCAGAGGGGAGCAAGGAATTGTTCCTGGCTTTCCTTGTGTTTCTGGAAAAAAAATACATTTTGAGTTGGCTACCCAGGCGAGACAAAATTTGTGGATCCCTGGTGATGCCGCTGCGTCATACAATGTTTTAAGTTAGATATTATGAGGAAGAGGGGCAGAAAAGACATGAATCAGGAGCAGGAACAGCTATGTCTCTTGACTCTAAGTGAGGGAACAGGAGTATTGAAGAGATAAAAAGCAAATTGTTTGCCATTAAACGGAAGAGCTCTTTCTAAGGGAGGCCAACATGGCTCTCTCACGCCTACCATTTTTATGGTCAGCAAACCACTTTTGTTGTAAAAACTGCACATATGGTTCTGGCTGCATCATTAAAACTGATTACTGGCAAATGAAAGTTAAAGAAAGGAAGCACTGCTGATTTTAAGGAGTCTTTATAGGTGTTCATAGTGTTTTAAGTTGTAGCGTGAAAGTGACAGCAGTGCATCCTTGTACACTCCGTGCTAGATTTATCAAGCAGCACTTCTTCTCAAGACAAGATGCTTCAGTAAAGGACACTTTCTGAAGATCACAGGTGTTGGTGCACTATTGTACAAAAGCATGTAGCATTTAATTTGATGAAATTGCCTGGCCAGTATCTGAGAGCACAGATTTGGACTACAGTAATTGTTGAGCTGAAATGGGGGCCACTGTAGTATGTCCGCTTGGGGCACATCTGTTGGTCAAATTGCAAGTTCAGGTAATTAAGATGTAACGTGATGAGTTTTCATCCAGCAATTTCATATGCTTATGAAAAAGAAAAACAAGGCAGATGAGCAAACCAATCCTTATAAATGGCTGTGACAGTGCCGTGTTTGCACCTGTTTGTGCATCTTAATGAGTTTTCTGTAGCACGCCTTGCCCTGAACTTAAGAACATTGGAAACTGCCTTGTACCAGATCAGGCTATTTGTCCATCCACTCCAGTATTGTAAACTCTGATTGGCAGTGGCTCTCCAGAATCTTTGGCAGAGGCCTTTAATATATTTTGCTATTTGATTCTTCTAACAGGAGATGCCAGTTATGAACCTAAACATCTAGGACTCAGCTACGTTGGTAAAGAAAAAGTGTTTTAGATGCGTTATAACACTGTGACACTGGATGGCGCTGTTGAGTCCCATCTTTGGCCAACGTGATTTCCCCTTAGGAAGTTTAGAATGTGTTTTCCTGAAACGTTGTTTTTTTTAATAATAATATTTTATTAAGTTTTAACAATAGGGAAATTCCAAAACAACAAACAGAGAACAATAAAAGCACAAAAAAATATAAAACACAACAATAAAAAGTTACACAATAGAAAAATACAAACATTTAACCTAGCAAGGGGAAAAAAGGAAGAAAAAGAAAAAACAAATAAGCGCACAAAAAAGAAAAACACAAATCCCTCTTTTTTAATTTCTCATCTTTGATTAACTTATTTTCCTGACTTCCTCACGCCTCCCTTTTTTGTATCCCTTTTTGAAAATTGGTTCAGCAAATTCATATCCTATTACTTTATCCTTAATTGTTTTTCCTCCCAAATTATAATTTCAAATTTTTATCTATTATCAATGCTAGAACCCCTTCATTTCACTTCAATGTCATCAACATTCATACATTTTACAATGTTTCTGTAAATAAATTTTAAATTTCCTCCAATCTTCTTCCACCAACTCTTCTCCCTGGTCTCGGATTCTGCCAGTCATTTCTGCCATTTCCATATAGTCGATTACTTGCATCTGCCATTCTTCCAGAGTGGGTAAATATTGTGTCTTCCAATGCTTTGCGCGTTTTTTTTTTTATGTGTCTAGATCCAGCCCTAGTCTACTGCTGCTCTATAATCCTTCTCCAGAATAAATCCACGCAACTCTGCATCTCGACGCCTACTGAGGCTTCCAGAGACAATACTTGGCTGCTACCACACCTACTTTGAAATATTCTTTTCAGAAATAAGGCTGCAATCGTAATCATGTTGACTCAGAAGTAAGTCCTCGTGAATTCAATGGGGCTTAATTCTCAAGTAAATAGGGTTAGGATTGTAGCCTTAGTTTGTTTCATGAGAACTTTGATTTTCAGTGAGGTTAAATGGATGGTTCATGTTTGATAGGTGCATATCACTCCTGTGCTATTGTGAAGTTTTTATAACCTCATATGAACTTGTTCTTGCATCTGGTTTCCACATGCATTTCCATCACTAGGTTACTCATCGCCGTATCATTTGCATCAGAATGTATAAGCAGACATCACACAAAAAAGTATTTACGATGTGAGCTGATATGAATACTCCATCCATGCATGTGCAAATTGATGCTTTTGTGCTCCCATAATCAATAAATGAATATGTATATGTGAATCAGTACTTGGCCACACTGTATTGCTGAATCCAGCTTTTCCAGCTCGCCAGTTGTTGTTGAACTACAACTCCCATTGACCGCAGCCAGCATGGTCCAATGGTCAGGTATGATGGGACTTGTAGTTTAACAGAATCAAAGGACCAAAGGTAGGGAAGTGCTGGCCTAACTGAGCAATACTATGCAGCAAACATCTGTGTGCCTACTGCTGCTCTGTTTCAGCAATGAGAGAATGGGTGCTTTTGCTGTTCCCCTTGATGGATAGTTAAACCACAGGTGGCTAAGTTTAAGGATTTGTAAGAAGTTGGGGTCAAATTTCATGTTGGTTAATACCTCTATTAGGTGCAGTATTTACATTCCAAACAACCAGAGGCTTTGAGGATGTCCAGGGACATGATCATCAGTGGAAGTTTGGCTGTTTTGCTGTGTTCAACCAGATTCTGCAACTTCCTAATGGAGTCTGTTATGTTGCAACCAGGGACAAAGCCAGCCTGGTCTGGGGCTATTAAT